ACATACACCTTCTCAGATTGTTCGGATCACTCCGTGGTTTACCTGGGTGCAATGCTGTTGAGTATAGGAGTAAATAAAATGTTCCAAAGATTATAAGAGATATGTCCAGATAATTGGTACAAGATTACAACTATACTTCTGTAGCCAATTTTTTTCTTATGGACATTGAAGCAGCACAGAACTTTGCCACTTCGTACATGGTAACCGGGTTAGTGTCCTGGAGAAGAAAGCCTAGATAAAAATTGTCTGCCCTCCCTGGCAATCTCTCTAATAAGGGGAGAATATGTGCAGACCTACAAGCTCTGTATATAGCTCGCAGCGAATTTCAAAGAAGCAGTGTAATATGAGATAATGATAATGGAGAAATGGATCAATAGACATTTCCACCACTATCATCATTCAGGCCAATTTATTTCCAATATTCAAAGGCAAGTATCATTGCGGGGAAAACACCCTCCCCAAAAATAAATCAATGCCAGGCACAAAATTCATAAATTGCATTACATCAATGTTTAAGAATACCATAACATGATTAGAAGTACCAAACATTTTTATAACAACACATGGATACACGCACACACAATTTGGGTGTATGACGGTGGTGGTGGGTAGAGAATGGATTTAAAAACAGTCCAGTGAGAACCAGATGTACTCTCTGGATAAATGTTCTGGCTGGATTCACAACTGATAGAATCCTAGAATTGGATGTTCCTTAGTGCTCATCTCCATTCCCCTATTTGGTGCAGCATCTACAATAGATGTGGCCATCCAGCCTCTACTTGAAGACCTCTAGTGAAGGAGAACATATGCAGCAGCCTATATCACTGGCCCACAGATCATACAGTGAAGAAGAAGCTTCTGATGTCCATCTTGAATCTTCTTGTTATTTTAACCAAGGTTCTGGTCCTGCTGCTTGGGGGCAACAGAGAATACGTTCACTCCCTGAAAATTTCTGTTATTTCTCCTTATAGTCCTCTCTTCTGTAGCCTAACCATACTGAGATCTGTGCAGCGTTCCTTGGTTTCCAAGTTCTTCAACATCTTCATTACTTTTGTGATAAAGCCATAGTTTGTTGGATAAACCCACAAGCTGTGGCAAGCTGTCTGGACCCTAATCATGATTCAGTGGTGGGATTCAAAAATGTTTGCTACCAGTTCTGTGGCCGTGGTGTGACTTGGGGGTGTGTGACATGGGAAAAATACTGCAAAATCCCCATGCCCTCCCCACTCCAGGGGAAGGATACTGTAAAATCCCCATTCTCTCTCTACCCCACTAACCTACTTTCCAGCTCCCTTCTCCTGTGCAGGGCAACAGAAGAAGACCCAGCCGATCAGCTGGGACTCCGATCAGCTGGGAGTCGGGAGGCAGCAAATAGATGGGGGCGGAATCAATCAGAGGTGGTATTTGCCGGTCCTCTGAACTACTCAAAGTTTCTGCTCCGGTTCGCCAGAACCAGTCAGAACTGGCTGAATATCACTTCTGTCTTGATTTAAATCTCCACTAACAGCACTTAACAAAACAATACAATTTTCTGGTGCCCTTCTTACTTTCAACGTTTGAAGTTAAGTCCTAAAATTTAAAAAGGAGTCCTGAGCAGGAGTCCTTTACCACAACTGTTCCTCAAAGCAAAGCCAGCTTCCTGATTTTTGCACACGGAATACTCCGCTTGAATCTTTTGAGGTCCAATATTTCTTAGTCCATACTTATTGATGCTTTTACAACATCCTGATCAATGTAATTCTCAAGCGTGAAAAATAAATGTGCAGGCGATGTATTTTGGTTTTTAAAACGAAATAAAAACAACAACACAGAGATCTCTTACTTAAGTCTGTCTGGCATTTTATTTTATTTGTAGCAGGTGGAGGAGGGGAAAAAGGAACACTTGTAGAACATATGGAGTGCATGGTAGACTAGAAAAAAACTTCTTGATTTGACTGTGGTGTTAAAAGCTTGTTGTTGAATGTGACAAGTACAGTGTATGTTTGAATAATGTCAGTGGATAACTATTTAGTAAACGATACAACCCTAATCAAATGTAAAACAAGGGTGTGTGATGTCCCTTGGTTGGTAATGTTTTAATGAACAAATGCATAAAGAATGTTCATGTTATTACAAGTGTGTTACTTGGGGGATATAAATGTATGCCTATTGTGTGAAGAATTGCTGCCATGTGGTTGACTGAAATCTGTACTTATTTTTTCAGTCAATGATAGATAGAATGGATGATACAATCAGGATTAGTACAAGAATTACTCCATGTAATTCCAAGGTATTTGTGACCTAGTACAGAGAGTAAATGATTGCAAGTTACTCATAAGAGGAGAAGAACTACACAGCAAGCCCATGAATATGTATATTTGGCTAGAATGCTTTTTGCAGCTGAAAAATGAAGATTTTTTTTTAAAGTTGTGCAAATAACTGGTAGATCTGGAAGGTCTTCTTTTGACAAAATGTGGCACATGGACTGTCACAACATTTTGTCAAAAGAAGTGAAAATAGCTGTGTATATGAGCTCGCTTTTGGCATATGGGAATTGGTAAAACAGCAGTGGGAATGGGGCGCTGAAGGAACCCCATATGTGGGAAAACAAGAAGAGAAGTGATACACATCAGTGGTGGGATTCACATACGTTTGCCACTGGTTTCGTAAATGCAAGTGCATACCCGCATTCTTGCATCGCATGCATGAGGCCTTGCGCGCATGTGTTTTGCTCGCATGTGCGGTGTATATGCATGCGTGTGGTGTCGAAAATGATGCCAAATAGGATGCTTTGGAGCTGGGGCAGATGGGTGGGTGTGGCAGCCGAACCGGTCCAAACTGGTTGAATACCACCTCTGATGCACATCTCTTCCTACATAGAATTCCAGCCATCATTGGTTTCTGGGGAGGGGAGAGGATATACCTGGAGCTAGCTAACCAAGTATCCCTATTTCACATGCTCCTTTTTCTCAGCAGCTGCTCCCGTGGCTGTTTCCCTAATTTTCTCATTCTTGCCGGATAAACTGTTCTTTCCAGCTATTGACTACACGGTCCTGGTTTAAATCAAATGGCACATGGTGTATACAACAAAATGATTTGCTGCATTACAGTACTGTAAACATGCCTGAAGAGACCTTTGCCCAGAGATTTTAAATCATTTTTGTAAGCACAGGAACATTTAGAGATGGACTGTGATTCAGATCCCCCACGAGACAAAGATGATTTCATGCAGTTAACCTTTCAGCCCCAAAGAGTTTAAATCTAATGCCCACATTATTTAAGCCCCCCTTTGCTACTGGTTCTAGAAAAAATGAGCAGGGAAATTAGTTGTCTTCCTAGCTTTATTCAATTTCTCCCCTCGAGAAGAGTGCTCCTCTACTCACAATAGAATCCCTGATGCCACCAGGCTTGAAATTTTGGGCTTGGACAACCTTGAACTACGTCGCCTACGGTCGGACCTAAGCATAGTACACAAAATTGTCTGCTACAACGTCCTACCTGTCAATGACTTCTTCAGCTTCAACCTCAATAATACACANAGGAAGGAAGGAAGGAAGGAAGGAAGGAAGGAAGGAAGGAAGGAAGGAAGGAAGGAAGGAAGGAAGGGGTCGTGGTGCCACAGTGATTAGAATACAGTATTGCAGGCTAATTCTGCCAACTGCCAGAAGTTTGGCTGTTCGATCCTGACGAGTTCAAGGTTGACTCAACCTTCCATCCTCCCAAGGTTGGTAAAATGAGGGCCCAGATTGTTGGGGACAACAGGCTGACTCTGTAAACTGCTTAGAGAGGGCCATAAAGGATTGCAAAGTGGTATATAAGTCTTCTAAGCGCTATTGCTCTTTTCTTACTCAGGAGAAGTCAGAGGAGAACTTGTCCAAAGATAAACGCATCCAGTGGGCTGACGGCTTTGTCTTGGTCTACAGCATCTGTGACCGTGCCAGCTTCGACAGCGTCCAGCCCAAAGTCCAGTTCATCAAAGCCGCCAAGGAAAGCCCAAGCCAGGAGAAAGTGCCCATTGTTATTGTGGGCAACAAGCGAGATCTACACCATCACCGGGAGGTATCCAGCGAAGAGGGGCGTCTCCTGGCCCTCTCCATGGACTGTGAGTTCTACGAGGTCTCGGCAGCCGAAGCCTATCACGGAGCACTCATGGTCTTCCATGGCTTAGCAGAACGCATCTGTGAGGCCAAGTTGGCCTTGAAGAAAGGCACAGGAATCCGGAATATTGTCAAGAGCGTATCTGCTGTTTTTGCTCGGAAAAGAACAGACTCAATGTGAAAAAAAAAAAAAAGAAAGCTAATGTTCTGTAAACACTGTGGGAGAACATCCTGTTTTTCCCCCCCTCTTATTTGGGCAGAGTGGAGCATGGATTTTGCCACTGTGGAGTCAGCCTCCTCCTTCCGCTAATCCTGAAGGAGAATCAATCCAAGGGGTGGTCTATAGGGCTGTCCTGGGTGCAAATTCAAGAAGAATGGGGCTCTCCAAGGAAGGAAATGGACATGCCTGTCTCTTCATGCTGAAATGCCAGAAGAAAAGGATTTGCCCAAGAGGAAATTAACATCTTCCCCAAATCCACCTAATAAGGTGGAATTGGAATTCGAGAGTCCTGAAATAATGTGCTACTAGTACTGTGCAAGCTCCAGTACTGTAGTCTCTTTGGTATTTACAAAGAACTATATGGATAAAACATCCTCACTCTTTCCCCTATATAAACAGGGCTGAACCAAAGCTCATCTAACCATAGTTTACTAGATTAACAACAGCTCAATCTTTAACAATGGGACACGGTGGCTCAGTGGCTAAGACGCTGAGCTTGTCGATCAGAACGGTTGGCAGTTCGGTGGCTCGAATCCCTAGTGAGTGAGCTCCTGTTACTTGTCCCAGCTTCTGCCAACATAGCAGTTCGAGTAGAATAGAAAAAATAGGAACCACCTTTGGTGGGAAGGTAACAGCGTTCTGTGCACCTTCGGTGTTTAGTCATGACCACGGAGATGTCTTCGGACAGTGCTGGCTCTTCGGCTTTGAAACGGAGATGAGCACTGCCCCCTAGAGTTGNGCCTTCCATCCTTCCGAGGTGTGTAAAACAAGGAACCAGATTGTTGGGGGGCAAGATGGTGACTCTGTAAACCTCTTACAGAGGACTGTAAAGTGCCATATAAGTCTAAGTGCTATTGCTAAGTGGGAGGGAGGGAAGGAAGGAAGGAAGGAAGGAAGGAAGGAAGGAAGGAAAGGAAGGAAGGAAGCCCATGGGGGTGCAGGGGTTACAATGCAGCATTGTATGCTAACTGTGTTGATTGCAAGCAGTTCGATCCTGACAGGCTCAAGGTTGACTCCGCCTTTCATCCTTCTGAGGTGGGTAAAATGAGGAGCCAGATTGTTGGGGGCAAGAGGCCGACTCTGTAAATCTCTTAGAGAGGGCTGTAAAAGCACTATGAAGCGGTATACAAGTCTATGTGCTATTGTTATTATTCAGGTCTTGGAAAATAGCGCTTAGCACTTAGATTTATATGTCTCTTTACAATGCTTTACAGCCCTCTCTAAGTGGTTTACAGAGTCAGCATAATCCTATTTTATCTCTTTGGAAAGCCATCTCTCCATCTGATGCCTGTTTCTTCAATCTGTCATTGAATTTTTTACTCTCTTGTTCCTCGTTTATTATCTTGTTCATGTTTGTCTGATTTCTGCAGTGGTACTAAAATAACAAATATTAGAAGCAAATCACACCTACAGGAGTTGCAGGTGGTGATGGGGAAGCATAGCTTGTCTAATTTCTGTCCGTCGTGCAACTGTGGTGTCACAAATGGACAAATCAAAGTCAAATTTATTATTTCTTTCAACTCAAGAGGTTTGGGAGAAACCAGTAACAAGATTAAGCAGAATTCTGCCATAACAGTAGACATGAAGAAAAGTAAAATGTTCTTTTTTTCACTGCTGCTGTTAAATGTCACACTCCCTCCAAAGATTTAGATGTTAATTTCTCTGCCAAGACTATACCACACACAAACCAGTCCTATTTATAGACACTAAAGGTGGAAAAAAATTAACAAGATAAGTATTGGGGAGTTATACAATACAGGTAGTCCTCCGTGTACAGTCACAATTGACCCCCAAATTGATGTTGCAAAGTGAGAAATTTGTTAAGGGAGTTTTGACCCATTTTGCAAACTTCTTTTTGCCAGATTTGTTAAGTGAGTCACTGCAGTTATTAAATTAGTCACACGGGTGTTAAGTGAATCTGGCTTCAGATTGACTTTGTTGTCAGAAGGCCACCAAAGAGAATCAGATGACACAGGAAAGCGTCATAAATGTGAGTCAGGTGTCAAGCATCCGGATGTAGATTGCATCAGCAAAATGAAACAAACCAAATATTAAAAAAATAGGATATTGATGTAGTTCCTTACCAAGCACTTCTACATCATATTAAAGTAACCAAAATATCTTCGCAATCCCCAAGGCAAGTCACAACATTTCAGCACTTCTTAATAGTTGAAAAATGTGACACGCCCTAAACCATGGGGATGCTACTCCCGTCATAAGTGTGGGAAATGGTCACAGGTCACTTTTTTTCAGCGATATTGTAAACTTCAAACGGTCACTAAATGAACTGTTGTAAGTTGAGGACTATCTATTTGTATTTTGTATTTGTATTTAAGTTTATTTATATGCCGCCCTTTTCCCTGGGGGGACTCAGGGCGGCTTACAACTTAAAAAGGGGGGGGGGGGAACAAACTTTTAACATATAGAACAATACATCATTAAAACACAACATTCATACCATTCGGGCGGGGTGCAATAACCCGCCCGAATGGTATGAATGTTGTGTTTTTTAATGATGTATTGTTCTATATGTTAAAAGTTTGTTCCCCCCCCGCCCTTTTTAAGTTGTAAGCCGCCCTGAGTCCCCCCAGGGAAAAGGGCGGCATATAAATAAACTTAAATACAAAATACAAATACAAATAATTGCAAACTTAAGCAATTCTC